AAATTAACATCTAAAACCACATCCAAGTTCCAACGCCCAAGTCAACTCATTCATAAGGCACATTCGAAACATAATGAAAAGGATCTAAAACAAATAAGCTTTAGAGCTTACCGAAACCGATGAGGTATGCTCAGGTATTTGAGAAATATGTATTTGGATTAGGCTCTGCTCAACCAAAGGCGATTGGATGCTAGGCTACCTCAAAGCTTGAACACAAACCAAGACATAAGAGATCATTAGATATGAGAGATTGGAAGCATATTACATAATCAGTGCAGGAAAACTTGAAAATAACACAAAAACCAGTGCAGCTAGTCGGTTACAGGGATTAAATAGCGTTAACAATAAGGGATGTTAACTTGACAAAGAAGTTATATTCTCACATGCAAAGCATAGAAGATGGTTCACATATATAGTTATCCAAAACACAATCTGTAATTAGGTTCGAGTAGTTATCCAAAACACAATCTGTAATTGGTTGCATCCCTGTCAAGAGCCTTAAAAACACCACACTAAGGCCATACACAATTACACATCGCTCTTATCCGTTAGCTTATGAGCATCAAGAAGCTTCAAGATTTTTAAGCACACTAATAAGAGAAAAAGAACAAGAGAAAAAGAACACACATGCACGCTAATATGCAAATAGCAGTTAAAAGTCTTCCCAAATTATATCAACTTGCATTGTTTGCAATGCATACTTTTTCTGTCTCCTTTCCGTGTTCAGTAAATTGATAATGCATTAGCAGGATAATACAACCACGTGCAGATGATATTATGTTAGTCAGAAACCACGAAACAGTAAATTTTGATAACTCATAAGGAGCCGGAGGTTAATGCATTGGAAGTTCTATTTCCAGATCTTATCACTCTCCACTCTCCAGCAAGAGCGTCGAGAAGCTTCAAGATTTTTAAGATGCATGTGTGTTTCCTTCCGGTTAAGACTTAAGTTAGGAATCTCAATGACTTAACAGTCGGAAGAGTTTGCCCTGATGTCAGGGGCTGGAATATATATTCAAGGGACAGTTACAATCAAAGGGGGATAACATTACACCTTCAACTTAACAGTCGGAAGAGTTTGACCTTCAACTTTTAAAACCTAGATATAAATTTGATATCCATTGTCACATTACACCTTCAACTTTTAAAACCTAGATATAAATTTGATTGGATAAGATTACCTTTGTTGTCTTTAGCAGAGATAGACCTTCAATCCCAGAAGTCATCCTCAGTGCACCAGATTTCTTTGCGATTTACCTCTGTTGTATGCTTCTCATATCCTAATTTGAAACCTTTAACAAATATGGCAATGAAAATAAATTAAAAATTTTAAAAATGAACAGAAATAGAATGGATGTCTCCGGATTGCAAATCAATATGCTTGGAAATACTTCAGATTCTTCAGAATATATGTGAAATACAAGGACTTCTACTCAACATTTGGATGTGAAAACAAGCTAAAAAATCAAAAAATCCACCAAATCAGCAAGAACAAACATGAACATCCCAATCCCAATATATTGAGCACAGATTACATACATCAGATCAGAGGTTAAAGAACCTATTTAAAAAAAAAAAAAAAAAAAGAGGTTAAAGAATTCACCTGAACTGGCAACGGCGATGGAGTGTTGGTGATCACGACGGCGGTGATGTCGTCGGGAAAGAGTGAACAAGAATCGGGAAGATGGCTTGTGCGGGTGCCTGGGTCTAGGATGAGATGTCGAGGATAACAATCAAGAAGAAGATCGAGGTCGAGGTCGAGAGAGAGTAAAGACGGAGAGGTTGAGGTCGAGGTGAGGTTGGACTTCAGAGACGGAGAGGTCGAGGAGAACAATCAAGAAGAAAATCGAGGATGAGATGTCGGACTTCAGAGTTCAGAGACGGAGAGGTCGAGGTCGATCGAGAGAGAGCAAAGACTCTCACATCTCACTGAATCATATTCAATTAGGGTAAAACCAACGGTCATGATTGGAAGGTATGTTTATTTTCAATCTGGGCCGTCCATTTCAATTACAAACGGGCCGGTTCGGGGCCCCCTTTTTCTATAAATCTAGAACCGGCCCGACCCTAGAATGCCATTACCTAGGCCCGCCCCGCCCCGTTTCTCCTATTTAAAAACAGGACCCGCCCCGACCCGCCTATACCCGCCCCTACCCGCGGGTCCAGGACCCGTTTGCCCAACCCTACTTGTAACTGTTGAGCTTCACACATGGACCAACACGCTGTGACACCATGTTAATCTATACAATATGAATCAATTTAGACACTGTAAATTTTGTAAGAGAGGGAAGAACTTCATAAAGAAAGGAAGAAGAGGAAAGAACAATTCTTGATTCTATTTCTGAATGAAGAAGTAATGCAAGGAATGAGACTTTATAGTCTTTGACACTACAAGCTTAACAATTATCTAACCAAGTCTCTAATCTCATGACAAGTATCACAATCTGAACAACATATCTACTCTATCAGTATTGTAGTCATCCTCCATTTTATATTGAAATATAGAACAAGATATATGAGTGTATGGCAAGAGGACTTTAAAATCTCCATGCCACATTGGTAGGTAAGACGATCAATATCGCTGGCCCCGGTGGATATTATTGTTATTCAAGTAGCACTATACGCAAGTTAGCCATGAAGGTAAAATTGCTCATCATTGGAGCTTCCAGATGCTTCACTATAATAGTGTAAAATCCAACCTAGCTACTGTTTCATACAGTGGTTTTCATTTAACTGCAATCCGACCGCATGATGATAACGTTACTAAAATGAATATTGTTAATGCTTCAATAAGTATGCATGTGATTCGTTGTACTATAGTTCTCTAATCATTGTGATTAATTTTTATATATTTGAAAGAAATATTGTCTTCAAACTGTTTGAGCTTGTTAGCTATGCTTCTGGTTTGTTCTAATACTATATTCGAATTCGGTATCGTTTTTGAATTTTTAAGGTCTCGTTTATTTGTTGTTTATGATTGAATTAGATTAATAGATAATTTTTAATATTCAAAATATATTAAAGATAGAGTAGAATGATTTTTTCATTTTGAGGATATTAAAATGGGGTTACACTTTAAAGAAGATAATTAGACTGTATCCTACCTCCAAGTCAGCCACAACCTTTTCATTTCTTTCATAACTTAAAAATAATAGTTTATTTGCTCCAATTCAATCCTCTATACTAAATAAGGCCTAAGATTTCAACCAAAAGAACACCGCCTAAGAGACTGGAGGTTTAGTATTGTTGTGCTTTGAAAAAAAACTGCTTCTGTTATGCTGTGAGAATAAATTTATTTTTGCTGCTTCACGTTTTTAGCTTTTTTTCACCCAAAACTGTGAAAATAAGCTGTTTTTAAGTATTTACCAAACAGATTTTTGAGCTCAACTTTTTTTATACTCATTTTTTATAAAAGCACCTCAGTACTAAATCAGTACTAATTTTCCTATTCATGAATGACAACAAAAAACAAAAAACAAAAAATTAAAGAGCAAAATAATTAATGGAAACCAATGCTGTGAACTAGTATGTTTGTTGGTATAATATATAAATAAATAAATTTACAGCTAACAATTAAATCATGTATTAATGTGACGTGCATGCATTTGGATACCGTAAGCAATTTTAGGCCTGACAGTGACAGTACGCTGCAGTGCAGTTGCCCTATTTTGGCCATTGCTTTCCTGTTGATTCAATGGAAAGAAAATTTGAAGTTGAAGGAAGGTTATTAAATATATTAAAATAATACTGTCCATAGCAATATGTATAAGTATTGGTTTGGTAATGAGGTATTTTATAAAAATTGGGTATAAAAAAAAGCTGAGCTCAAAAAGATGTTTGGTAAACACTTAAATATAGCTTATTTTCACAATTTTGGATGAAAAAAAAACTGAAAACGTGAATCATTAAAAATGAGCTTATTCTCACAGCACAACAGAATCAATTTTTTTTTTTCAAAGTACAAGCAATACCAAACCATCCCTAAGTATATAGATTCAAATTTTATATTGCACAGTAGTGGAGATAAGTGTTGTTCCTAGCGTCACAACATTGGTTCATATCCTGTCAACTCCCTAATTTAACAAATTTATCGTTTTATTAGGTGAAAGAATTTTATAAGAAAAACTAATGAAAAAGGTTTGAAAACTTTGAGTTTTAACGATAAAGATAAAATAAAGAGTAAAGTAAATAGTACCATGATTGATTTTTTAGTGTAAAAATATGATTTTTTTTGTTAAAATGAACAGTATCAGAAACTTTTGGTTAAAGTTTTAATTTTATATGTGCAACTGTTTGCACTGTTACGCATGCGCCGACGCATTTCATTTGTTTTTTTCCTAGATTTTGGGCCTAGATAGCAGAAGCACTAACTAAAACCCCGCTCCAATTTATCTGGGCCCACCAATTATTACTCATATTCATTAATATCAAATCTACTAATCTTTTTTAGGTGAAGGATTCGTGCAAAGTAGTCTTAAAAAAACTGATCTTTATGTTAATTATGTGACAATAACGTGAGATATCACCGTTAATCCGTGATATCAATTGATTATATTTGGATGATTTTTATTCTGTTCAAGTGATTTGGGGGACAGAAATGGTGACCCGTATTAGATTTGAGCAAGTAATTCATATTCGATGCACAACTTTTCAGTTGGAATTAAGACTTGACAATCTAATTAACTTGCCTACTAGCAATACTTAGTAATGACACGCTTTCGAGGCTAAGGCAATTTAGGGGTAACAACTAGAGCAAAACTATATTCGCAACAAGTTTGGATAATTAATTAACAAGGTTGGATAAGGACTTAACAGAGATCTTAGAGAGATCTTATGTATTAATGATGATTAGGGACTGTAATCCCGCCCGAAGTTCAAAAAATCGGTGCCTAATTTCTTGTGTACAGTTAGATTCTCCGCAAAATCAGCTTCCCCCTTGCAACATTTCAACCCTTTCTTTCTTGTCACCTTTATAGCCAGCTTTTTGAAACCCCTTCTCCAATCTTATTATGTTTTTATAGACCCAACTCATAATATTATAAGAGCCAAGAAGATATAGATAGCAAAGCAAATTAGCAAGAGAGATGGGTCGTAACAATAATAATTCTGGGAATTTTCTACAAGTTGTGGTTAACAACTTAGATGTTCTTGCTTTGTATGTGCCCCTCCACCTCCCTCTCTAAATTCTACAACTATATATACGTATGATTCTTCTTGCTTAATTAACCTGGTCCTTAAACATATCTAAGTTGGATTCTTTGTCTCTCATCTGCAGGCCTCTGGTCACACTGGTGTATCCCCTGTAAGTATGGTGTCATGATTCTGTGCCTTTCTTCTTCAACACTGCTAATAGGGATTTTTTGTTACACTTCGGGGTATCTTACATACTAAATATTTTTTTCCACGGCAGATCTTAATCAAGGATCCAATAAAAAGAAATGTGCATATATAGGATACGCCGAAACACGATAGAAGTTTTGCTACTAATAAATGCATAATGCCGTCACCTATATTTCTTATGATATTAATTATTGGGATTTTTTGCTAGATATGCTTCAATTAGGGCAATAGAAACCAAGTCTCGTACCGATGATCAACAATGGCTAACCTATTGGGTTCTGTATTCTCTGATGACAATCTTCGAGCTCACATTCGCCAAAGTCCTTGAATGGTACTGTGCTTTTTCTCTTGCTAGATTTGGGATAAATTGTTCATATTAATTCCGGACTTAGTTCTTAATATCTAATTAAGTAGCAGGTTAGAAAGCGGCAAATTATAACCCTAATTATAGTATAATATCCTTACTGTCGATCAGCCTTCCTGTATGGACTTATGCCAAGTTGATATTCACATGTTGGTTGGTGCTGCCACAATTCAATGGAGCTGCATATGTTTATCGACGATTCATCAGACCATACTATATGAACCCACAAACTGCTCATCAGATGTGGTATTTCCCAAGAAAGAAGGGCGCCGGCCTCTTCAGCAAGCCGGATGACGTTTTAACCGCTGCCGAAAAATACATGGAAGAGAATGGGACTGATGCATTTGAAAGGCTCATAAGCAAGGTACATTGATATGCCTAGCTAATTTATGTGCGGTCTTTCTATAAAACCTCACTCACTGGTAGCAAATGTGATTAAGTTAGGGACTGTTTATATCGGTGTTAATTAGTAGTGCCCGTCGTTCCGTCTTTTTGGAATCTTAATGGTGGCAAATATGTGATGTAATATTGTTTTTTTATTCTGATTTGCAGGTTGATCGAGAAAGAACCAGCAGGAAGAGCAACAATTACATGATCTTTGATGATGATTATATGTACTGAATCACAGTGCCTGTCTTAATTTTCTTAACATTTATGCTGATCTTTTCCTGAAGAACATTTTGTATGCTACATGTCTTAATGTCATTAAATGGTGTGTGTCGATTTGGCTTTGAGTATTTTTGGCTGCAACTGTTATCTGTTGCTAAAAGCTGCAACCCAATACATCTAATTAACAATACGATACAACCTTAAAACCACATAAACACGATCAGAATCAATAATTTTCTGAAAATTTTCACTGGATATATATAAGTTTCATCAGAGTGTTTATCACGAAACAAAAAAAAAAAAAAAGTAAATATGTCGCTAAATCCTAAATCCAGTAAAGACCTCGTACATGTAACCTAAAATTGATTAGTCTCATTTAGATCCTTCAAACTATAATTTCTTTTCAAGAATCATTGTCATGCACGCAACTTATTGAAACTTCTTCATCCCAAGTAGTGAATGCATGTGCATGTTACCTAAGGGTCGAAGTTATATATATTTATACAGTTGAATAAAAGGTTGAACACGACATATTGGTCTCCAAATGAACCAAAATCGTTAGAATAATTTAACTTTTTGTTCGACTATCAAGAAAGTATGTCACTCACTCGAACTAATTCTACTTCTCATACCAAACTAAATTGGTCTAATAAAACTAAAAGGCCCTCAATGAGCAGTCCTATAATCCAACTATAGTTAAGCAATGAGCCGCTACCTTTGCATCGGACTCCTTTTTGAAAAGCATATTAAGAGACATAACTCTTTCTTCTTTTCGTTTTGGATCAAAGCATTGGGGGACATATCTTTTTTTATTATCAAAATATTGGGGAACATAACTCTATAAAGAATCAATTGTGCCATTTCAAAAGACCACCAGAGTGATGCCAAATGGCAGTCCAAAACGAGCTTACTCTTTACATAGTTAAAATTAATTAAATAATTTTTTTAGTTTAATTTAAATTACAAAATGCAAGATTCAAACTTGAATCAGGTATATAAAGAAAGCGTGTTTGCTCTACCCAATGTGACTGCGCCTATATTATGTATACTTTTTATTTATTTTCTTCTCAACAATAACAATATAAGACATGGTTATTTTATTTATTTATTTTGTATTTAGGTCAACAAATAAGACATGGTTTCAATTTGGGTCAACAAATAAGACATGGTCTCCATTTGGGTCAACAAAATAAGACTTTTTTTTTCTTGGTCAACAAATAAGACAAGCTATTGGCGCAAATACGGACAGAAGCAAACGAGAGAGGATCGGATTTTTATGAAGATTTTGGGAATCTTTCAATTATATTTGTTCAATGTATATCGTGTGACTAATTTTTGTTATGTACTGCTTATATTTAATTTTAAATAAAAAAATTATAATAATTTCTGATCGTATGATATATGATAAGCAAATGTAATTTGAGAATGCCTAAAATCCTTCCAAAAAGAATCCGGTCATTTGGAAAGCAAACCATCCCGGTCCCGCCAGATTTTCAGTGGTGACGTGGCATGAAGCGGGAGCGACGGAGCGACAAAACCAACAGTTAAAACTTCAAAAGACAAGAAAGAAAAGAAAAAGAATGAGAGAGGTCGCACGTTAGCTATCAAACAACCACAATCCACAAAGCTCTGCCAAATTCCACATTGACGACGACGACGACGACAACCTCTCCGGCGTCGCAGAGCGCTCCCTTACTTCTCCTCTCATTTTCCTGTATTTTTTTTTTCCAATTTCTCAGTTTTCTGTTTCTTTTTTTTGTAAGTGAGCGACGTCAGATTTTTGAAAAATGGCGGACGTTCGGCGAATTCCTTCAGCTTTCTCGCAATGCAGGTGAAATCAATCTTCGTTTAACCTAATCTGCGCTCCTTTTGGTCTAGAATGTATGTTTTGGTGTCGAAAATTACGAAATTCGAAGAGTTTTGGAGGAATTCGACGGTGTATGTGAATTTTAGGGGTTCTCTGATTTCTGAGCAAGTAATTTGAGCTGTTTTGGAGCTGAGTGTTGATCAGTGGAGCCCTCCGTGTGTGGCGTTTTAGGGTTTGGGTTTACGGCATTGCGAAATTCTAAGGCTTTGGGGTTGAGTTTCTTGAGCTGCAAGGTTGTTGAGAGCTGAGGTTCATTTGTGGGTGTAATGGGTTAGAGGTGGAGCAAATCAATTCTCTTTTGTAAGTTTAATGGGGAGGAGTTGGGAATTGGGTTATGGTATTAGGTGGTGGTGGTGTTCAAATGGGTGTTGGGTCTTGGACTTCTGGCAAAACCTGATATTGCAACTTGAATGGCTAGTCCCCAGAGAAGCGGTCCGGTCGAGAGGGATATCGACCAGGTTTCTTCTTTTTCATCACTTAAATTCCCATGAATTTTCCATTTGAGTGAACCATGACAAAGTTTTTTGTTCAAATGATGTATTAAGCTTGATCATTGCAGTTTATGGTCTTGTGTTATTTACACCTGTAGCTCATGTTGCTGTTTATTTTCTTCCCCTTCTGTTTCCAGGCCATAACAGCACTTAAGAAAGGTGCAACTTTGTTAAAATATGGACGCAGAGGGAAGCCGAAATTCTGCTCATTTCGGCTTTCTAATGTAAGTTGGCTTCACATACAGCCTTCTCTCGTTTCTGCTCTGTTGGCTCTCAGATAATTCTGGTTTTGTTTCAGGACGAGGCTCTGTTGATATGGTACTCTGGCAAAAAAGAAAAGCACCTTAAACTTAGTCATGTTTCGACAATTCTTCCTGGCCAGCGTACAGTAAGTTTCAGCTTCCGTTCTCTTTTCCGATAAAATCTTCACCAAAGCTCGACTACACAATCAAACCGTGAAAATGTTGTTAAACATTTATGCCTGCTTCCCAAAGATATTGGTAAATATCATTGTGGCTTTTCTATGCAGGCAATATTTCAGCGGTATCCACAGCCTGAAAAGGAGTATCAATCATTTTCACTCCTGCACAACGATAGGTCCTTGAACTTGGTGAGTATATTTGCTACATGTATTGGTACATAAAACAAGTTTAATGTTTCACAGCCAACATGTTCAAAGTTCATCGTTCCAACTGCATTGCACGCGTAAGACCTATAAAAAACTGGGAACCTTATGCTAGAAAAAGAAGGAAAAAAGCAACTAAGAAATTACATTTGTAGTATCATGGTTTAATACGTTACCTCCCTGTTGGACAGATATGTAAAGACAAGAATGAAGCTGAAGTTTGGCTTGTTGGTCTTAAGGCAATAATCACTCGAGGTAACTATCGGAACTGGAGAAGTGAATCAAGATTGGAGGGCACACCAATAGATAGTCCCCATGCTCGTACTCGACGACATTCTCCCTCCAGGACACCATTCTGTATTGGGGTGACTTATCTTTTGTTCTTTCTTTTATAAGGAAACCAAAAAAGGAATAAAGTTCTCTTGACTTGATGTATCAGGCATTTACTTTTTATTTCTTGGTGTTTTTACGTGATACTACAGGATCCAGGAGATACTGAGGGAGTTCCTTTGGAGAATATCCAACAGGGTAGATTAGGACAAGCATTCGCTGACATAATATCTTATACTGCCAACCCCAAGAGTGCCACACAAGCTGAATCAGTCTCGAATGCGTCATTATCACCTGTATCTGTGGATAACTCCAATGGTCGAAATTCTGCATCTGAAGCATTTCGGGTTAGTTTATCTAGTGCTGTAAGCTCGTCTAGTCAAGGTTCTTGTCAAGATGATTTCGATGCTTTAGGAGATGTTTTAATTTGGGGCGAAGGTGTTGGTGGTGGAGTACTTGGAGGCGGTGTGGATAGAGTAGGGAGCTCATATGGTTTCAGGACAGATGCTCTTCTGCCTAAGGTATTGCAATCAACAGTGGTCGTAGATGTTCACGGAATTGCTTGTGGTGCCAGACATGCTGTTTTGGTCACCAAGCAAGGGGAAATCTTCAGCTGGGGAGAGGAGTTAGGAGGCAGACTTGGTCATGGTGTCGATACAGATGTTTCCCACCCAAAGCTCATTGACACTCTTAGTGGAATGAATGTTGAATTAGTGGCATGTGGGGAATATCACACTTGTGCTGTTACACTTTCTGGAGATCTCTATACATGGGGTGATGGTACTCATAATTTTGGCCTGCTTGGGCATGGAAGTGAAGTTAGTCACTGGATTCCCAAAAAGGTATGCGGTCACTTGGAAGGTATACACATATCCTATATAGCTTGTGGACCGTGGCATACAGCTGCAGTGACATCTGGTGGCCAGTTATTTACCTTTGGAGATGATACTTTTGGTGCCTTAGGGCATGGAGATCACAGTAGCACAAGTACGCCACGGGAGGTGGAAACTTTGCGTGGGCTAAGAACAAGAAGGATTGCTTGTGGTATTTGGCACACTGCTGCAGTCGTTGAAGTAATGAATGAATCTTCTTACCCGGAGACTTCTAGTTACTCTTCATATGGGAAGCTCTACACTTGGGGTGCTGGTGATAAAGGCCGACTTGGACATGGTGATGAACAATCTAAACTAGTTCCTGAATGCGTAGCTGCATTGATTGATAAAAACATTTGTCATGTAGCCTGCGGCCATAATCTCACAGTTGGGCTTACAACCTCAGGAAAAGTATATACGATGGGAAGTGCTGCTTATGGACAGCTTGGAAATCCTTCAGCTGATGGGAAAGTTCCCACTCTGGTCGAGGGTAAAATTGCAGATAGTTTTGTTGAAGAAATTGCCTGTGGTTCTTATCATGTTGCGGTTTTGACTTCCAAGATGGAGGTTTATACTTGGGGAAGGGGTTCAAACGGGCAACTAGGCCATAGAGACAATGATCACAGACATACACCTACCCTCGTTGATTGTATGAAGGATAAAGAAGTCAAGAGTGTAGCATGTGGTCCAAACCTAACGGCGGTCACTTGTCTTCATAAATGGGTATCAAGTGCTGACCATTCCGTTTGCTCTGATTGTCACAATCCCTTTGGTTTCAGAAGAAAACGTCACAATTGTTACAACTGTGGGTTAGTCTTCTGCAAAGCATGCAGCAGCAAGAAATCTCTGAAAGCTGCCCTGGCTCCAGATATGAACAAGCCATTTCGGGTGTGCAACGAGTGTTATAGTAAACTGAAGAAGGCTGCAGAAGCCAGTTCTGCTGTGCGAAGTCCTACAATTAGAAGTCCAAATATGTGTCCTAAATCCAATGAGGTGACAGATAAAGAGAATCTGATCCCTATGCTGCGGGCAACACTCTCCAGACTCTCATCTTTTGGCTCAAACAACCAGAGCGATAGCAAGCAGCTTACGCAAGAAAGAAAACCAGAAGTGCATGATAATCAGTGTCTTCCCAGTGTTGAATGGACCTTTGCAGTTAGGGGGCTTTAATTTAACAAAAGCATCAACTCCTCTCACTGGAGATTCAGAAAAAGTTATTTCGCCTCCAGTTCCTGCCTCTAAAAAGGCTTCTCGATACACATCTCCTGTTTCAGAAAGGTCAAGTCCATGCCGGTCTTCTGAAAAAATCATTCTTGAGGATTCAAAGCTTATAAATGGAAGTTTGAGCCAAGAAATCATACATTTAAGGACACAGGTAAGCCTTTTTATAGTGCTTCAATGTCTACAGTCTAATACCTAATGACATCCTTGCATATAGCTAAATCTTTGGTGAGTTCTGGGGTCTGAATCTTTGACATTCTGTAACTGCTGAAGGGAGAGGAACTAGCCTCGCTTATGAACCGAGGAATTGGATTAAAATTTGCATCCATACAAAAATTAGTTAAAGTAATGTGTATACACTAAGCTGATATTGTTCCAAAAACAATGTAGGTAGAAGACCTTACTCTCAAATCCCAACATCTTGAAGCTGAACTTCAACGAACATCAAAGAAATTGAAGGAGGTCTCTACAATAGCCGCAGATGAAGCTGAAAAACGCAAATCTGCAAAAGAAGTTATTAAGTCTCTAACTGCTCAGGTTGCAAACATTTTCGTTTATTTGTTGGGTGTGGCGTTGAAACTGTCCTATTGTCCATTATTTTCTAATATCACAATGATTTTACTTGTCGAACAGTTAAAGGAGATGTCTGAAAGAATGCCTGAAGGACAGATCAGTCACTGCAACACAGGTTCTATTTCTCATGCAATCAGCTTTCGAAACCAGTTATCCAAAGAGCCCTCTCTGTCAAACATAATTACTTCGCAAACTTTATCCAACGGCAATTCAATGGATCGAATCTTAGCTAATGGAACTAAATCACCAACCGAAAATTAGAGCGCGTGCTACAAGATGAACCTGGTGTATATATAACTCTACGCTCCTTGCCAGGCGGCAGTAATGAACTTGTGCGTGTTCGCTTCAGGTATCTCTCTCCCCCTCCCCCCTTTATTTTCACAGTTTGACACGTACAACCAAGTAAACATCTAAGGCCGTGGCTTAGGCTGCAGAAAATTCACTCTCTTTCTATTACAATCGACTTTATACTACGGTGCAGATTGATGAAATACATTTGATGCTCTCTATCTTGTTTGCTGAAATTTAAATTGTTGTCCGACAGTCGGAGACATTTCACTGAAGAAGCAGCGGAGAGATGGTGGGCTGAAAATGGGGCAAAGTTATGTGAGCAGCACAATATAAAAGGTGCAGAGTAAGATGCTGTCAGCTCTCCGGTGCAAACCTCATATGCTTACATCCAACGATCCTCTTCCTCAGCGGAATGTGTAAATTTTTTAACCCCTAAATCATTCCGCAGAGATAGATCGAAGGATATGGAGCCGGATTCGCAGGTAGACTGACAATATAGAATGTCAAAACTGTAGGGAGAGATTTTCCAAAAATTGGAAAATGAAAAGGACATCCATAAGATGAGAGACATTTGAGAATTCTAGATTCGTACCAATAATATCAATCTCTAATCTTATTTTTTGTATATCAAGTTGAACACTGTTCTTTAAACATAACTATCCATCTCAATTGAGCTCGGTCCAGCTTCCTTGATCAGGTTATCTTCTATTCGAACAGGCCGAAATTTCACTTCTCCCGTCTTATTTTCATCTTCCACTTCCTGCACTCTTGTTATATGATCCGGCAACCTTCCGGCAATTGCGTAAATACCTGATAATAGCATTGAATTGGCGGTATGACCATCTTTTAGTTCCACTAGCACTTTCTGTACTGATTCCCTAAGAGCAACATGCCCATAAACCCTGCAAGCCGAAAGCAGTGCACGCCATGCTGTAACATCAGTCTTAATGGGCAAGCTTTCGATTAGTTTATGTGCTTCCTCCAACAACCCTGCACGACCCAAAAGATTGACCATACAACCATAGTGTTCCACCTTCGGCACAAAGCCATACTTGCAAACCATCATCTCGAAACATCTAACTCCCTCTGCCACCAGCCCTCCATGGCTGCAAGCACTTAAAACTGCCAAGAAAGCGACCTCATTAGGTTGACAGCCCTCTTCTTCCATCCTGTCAAATAGCCTCATGGCATTACCCGCCTGCCCATGAACACCATAACCCGAAATCATGGCAGTCCAGGATTTCACATCTTTGCTTCCATGCTCTCAAAGATGTCAAGTGCCCTGTCCAAAAACCCGCATTTAGCATACATATCAATCAGAGCTGTTCCGAGAACGGCATCCAATGCCAAGTTTTCATCTTCCACATAATCCTTGATGCAACTCCATACACTTACAGACCCAGAAGCAGCACAATCCGAAAGCAACCCCGCCAATGTAGATGAATTTGGTTTCATTCCTTCGAGTTTCATCAGGCGCAACAAGGCTACTGCTTCTTCTACCATGCCACATTTTGCAGACTTATCAACCAAACAATTCCATAACACAACATCCTTCACAGAAACTCCATCAAAAATCCGATATCCCAAGTCGATTTGCCCCTTCTTCGAGTACATATCAATCAAAGCAGTAAGAACATGTAAATCTGAACTGAAGCCAATCTTGATGCAATAGCCATGAATACACTCTCCTGCAAGGTGACTCTCTAAATCACCAATGGCAGACAAAAGGTTCAAAACGGTGGTCGCACTAGCCTCAAAACCGATACTACACATTTGCTTGAACAAATCCACAACCACATGAGGCTGAGACGCATGAAGATACCCACCCATCAAAGTATTCAACGAAACCAAATCATTTCTTTGAGGAAATTCATCAAACACCTTCTGGGCATCTTCAATTTTTCCGGAAACACGATAAAACTGCAAAAGGGTATTCTTTACATTGACAAACAGTCCAAACCCAGACCTCATAACAACCCATGAATCCCTCGGCCGATCCCAATGGCCAATTCACGAGCGCAGGCTTTGATCGTCGCGACGAAAGAGAACTGGTCCAGCGTGATATTCTGAGCTCTCAAGTTGTTGAAGATATGAAAAGCATGCTTTGGATCATTGCTGATGGAGTAGGCTCTGAGCATGGTATTGAACATGAAGAGATTTGGATTTTGTATGCGGCTGAAAATGGCGGCGGCGTATTGGATGTCTTGGATGGAAGAGGCGAGAAGCTTGCGGGAGGGAAAAGGAAGGTGGTCGAGACCAGTCTTGACCATGGAGCCATGGATTTGTGAGACTTTTGAGACTTTTTTGCAGGATTGTAATAGAAAAATAAGGCTGAGATCTTGGCAGAAGGCGGAGTTGTGTGTGGGCGAAAGTGTGAGTCTTTGACCCAGACGTGACGACTTGACTATCAATGTCATCAGCCATGCGGCGCTGGCACGGCGGCGGCAACGTTTGAATTGTTTCGAGCTCACGCCAGAAAAGCAGACACTCAAATACCAAAACTCCAAATCCTTCAATTTTTGCTTTCAATAAAAGTTCAAAAAGTTCTTGCAACTGGAATACCAAGCTAGCAATATCTAATGGTACGAGGATATTCTCCCTTCCTAATTTATTTCTATTTCTCCTTCCTTCCCTCCTACTTGAACGGTTACAGTTAAACTACGTCAACATTTTATATTGATTTTTTTTAAAAACAATAGACAAAAACAATGTGTGAGAGGAAGGAAGGAAAGTGAATGAGAATAAGAGAGAAAAGAATCCTACTCCATATCTAGTAACTGTCACGTGCACTTTTTTTTTGTTGTAACTTGCCCCGACAAAAAACTTACATACAATTGGAATACCAAGATGATAGTATCTAGTGACGACCACAAAATCTTTTTTTGATGTAACTTTACACCGGCGAAAAACTTACATGCAACGAGAATACTCGGACGACAATATCTAGTGACTACCACACTTTTTTTTTTTTTTTTAACTCACTCACATGTCATCACGTACATAGTTTGGGATAATGTCATCTTGGTCTCCCGACCGGTCTTGAACTCCACCGACCATAAAACTTGCATGCTTGTAAGTTTCTCTCGTTGGTAGTCGATCAATTTTAGCGAAAATGTGGGCAATAGGATCTTGGCATATATTCACTTGCACTAATTGCACTTTCAGTTGCCTAAAGGATGGTACCGTCGTACTATGAGACAGCCGGATATCAAAACTTGCAATAAGTGATACGGTAACTAGGAATACATTCGGTGCTGATATCTCCCGTAGGCAGAAACGGAATGTATGAAAGTGGCCCAAGACCAAACTACCTTTCCTTATAGGGGGAAAGACTGCCGCTGCTCATCGGAGTCTTCTCCTCCTTGAAGGGTTGGGTTGACGCATCGGATAGACTTGGTAGCCTTGAAACAGAACCCTTTCCTTTCCTCGCATTTGGCCCTAACTCCTCTATCATGTATTTCCACCCATCAATTGGTCTCCTCCGGCTAAATATGTGAGTCTTGATAAAACTAGCAATCTGCACGCCAATGCCATATATACCAGCGGTAAGCATCGAGACATTAGAAAGAAATTGTTAACAAGATTGTCATTTGTTTGGGAGGCAATTAGAGCATTCGACAGATGGTCAAATTTCGAAAGTTTTACAAAGCCTGGTGCATCAAAACGATGTGCAACTTTTGTGATTGAATTATAAATCCGATGGCTCTTCCACGTACTCATTTTCAACAAGAAAGGAACTATACTAAAACTACAAAACCTTCACGATATGAACTTTTCTAACATATGAAATAGGTTCACACAAACAATGTAAAGTTCAGGCTAATCCTACAAATTGTACCCTTCACTTATATTATTTGTGTGATTGAATATACACACCTGAAATTTATTGTATGCAATCCGACGCTCAAACTCTTGAAGAAGAATGTCTTCTTCTCTTTGCGTCATCTCCCATATATTTCCCTCCTGAGGCTTAGATGTAGTTTCCCAACCATCAGGTTTGTTTTTGTAGTCAGAAGCACTCGGTGCTTTAGAGTTCTCCAAATCGTTGTTAGGGGAGTCAAAAATGCTGCAAGTATTAAAAAAGTACACCAAAAATGTGAATCGCAAGCAACCTCCAAAAACTTCACTACTACACTGAAACAAACAGATGGTAAAGATTTAATCCAGGAACTTCTATGCAAAATTGAAGACTTTAATGCAAAACAATCGAAATCAGATGCATAACCCACTACAAATTGATAGCACAACATTCACATTCTATAGTTCATACCAACTGATGAAGCAGAACAAACCCACCATACTTCTCTAGAAAGCACTTCTACTAATAAGCAGTTTTATTGGAAGCGCTTTTATCATAATCATGTCGAAATTTCAATTTAAAAGCCCAGAGCTTCAATCAAAAGTACTTGAAATGCTTCCCTTTTAGCTCAAGGTGAATTTCTCACCCCGAAGCACTTTTACTTTTTTTTGCCAAATTTGTCAATTAACGCGTTTAGATATCGGAAAACGCTTTCATCAATTCCAAAAGCACTTTAAAACACATAAACGCATTACAAACGAATACACAAACAGATGCATTCATGTATATGCAGAGATAAACAAAGAGAAAGATTAACATACTCAGAGCAACTATCAAGCAATCGCTCGATGTCGTCGCCACCGCCAAACGAATTCGAGTCGACCAATTTAGCCTCCTCCTGCTTCTCAATCTCCTTCATCCAAAGCCCAGCGTGAATCCTCTGTTTCTTCACCCGATAGTCCTTCTTCAAGCTCTCCAAGCTATAAAGCGACGACCCACTCTCGCTCTGCTGATTCTGCTTCCATTCCTCTTTGGGTTTCCGCCTCTCGTTCCAATTCTCGTTCATGTCCTCCACGAACGCCTTCGTCTCGGGGTCGGCGTCCGACGGAAGCACGATGCTCGACTCGGGAGACGAGAAATTGACGTCGGTCTCCCATGGAGCTCTGCTGTTGTTTCCCGAGAGGTCGGGTGGGAGCCACGCCGTCTCCCACGCGTCGTTCCAGTCGTCGTCGCCGCCGCCGCCGCCTTTCTTTGAGTTGGAGGAGAAGGCTCGGAGATTGGCGGCTGAAATGAATTGGGTTTTGGTGATTGTGGACGAGAGTCGGTGGAGCTCGGTCTGTGTTGCTATGCGTTTAAGGGTCTGCATGGTTTGCGGAATCGGTGAAGAGAATCGCAGAAATGGAAGCTTAAACCCTATATTTTGAGAGAGACGGGGACGCAGAGAGGAAGAAGACAACATACGGGCCTAACCAAAAGCCCATGTATTTCAATGGTCTTAAAATAAAAGATTGGGCCGTACGAAGCCGATAATGTTCTATATGGCCCATAGAGAAAGCAAATAAAATTTTGTGATTAATATCATTTTTTTTAGCCGTATGTCGATTTCCTCCGAGACTCGTAAGACGCTACCAATTTTCTCCATGAATTTTAATTTTAGCTAGTTACTTCTTGAACTTTTATGGTTGGTAAATTTTTTTCTGAACTATAGTTTTAGCCAATTACCATCCTGAACTTTTATAATTAGCAAATTCCCTCCACTTTTCTGGTGTTTTGTGGAAGGTATCAAACAACGACTTATCCTACTCCTAACCTTTTCCCCCACTTTTCCTCACTATTTATGCTAACCTCAAAAGCTAAATGCCCTTGTTGTAAGTTGGCACCAATATGAAAGGGTAGTGATGTTCTCGCTCTAATTTAAAATCAGAGCGTCCTATTGTGGAATAGATGTGGCAATAAGTTTTGCTTAGGTTTATCTATTTAAATATGTGCCATGTGAGTAAGATATTAGTTGACCAATGCTAATCGTGTTTAACTCATATCAATTGTGTACTTGTAAGTTATTGTATTCGTGCGAGTTTCAATTCGCATAACGTGTCGTGTCTGAAATTGTCACCCTAAATTATAAGCGTGAAAAACCATAAAGTATTCAATTTGCAATATCAAAATTTGAAAAGCAAGTTTCAAAATGGTGAAAAGTTTTAATATAGTTCTCATTCTTATAACTCAAAGACTAAGGCATGTGAAATTGATTGGCTTCATGGTAAACTTTACTTCTTTTTCATTTTTATTTGGTTTCTTTAGATAAGTAATGGTGTTGGGCCCCCTAGGTCCCAAAAACTATAAAACGTACGCAAATAGGGGATGGGCCACATTATACAAGCCCACCTCAGCTTCGAGTTTTGTGTGTTATCTTAGTTATGAATGTTCTAAAGCATGTTTAGCCAAGCATGGCGATGGAACATTATTGTCCAATGCATTCAAGGGTCTTATCCCTTATCTGTAATTTTTAACATGAAGTTGTTTTTCTTACTTCAATAATATATACACACACACACACTCATAAATTCAATGGTTCTTGTGTTACATTGATATATAAATAGTGTAGGACTTATTTGACAATCAAGATTAGATTAGTATATTCTGAATTTCAAAGCACGTTAAAGGAATAACTGAATGTAATTTTGTCCAATTTAAAGGCAGAAGATGGACCATACAGAAATAAACTATGAACTTGTATATTTCAACTCCAACATAATGATAGGATTAGAAAAACAAGTTTCGCTCGTCTAATTTATTTTGATTTACTCAAAACAAAACGTTATTTTCGTTATCTAAATTCAATGTACCTTGAGTTTTATGAGTCATTCACTCAAATATAATCCTAGTCACCAAACGAAAGTTGTGATTTTTTTAAGTACGAAAAATGCGGTTTCTAATCAATAAATATTCACTTATTAGGTAGGAAAAGGATCCTTGTTAGATCTTTTTTCGAGGGATCTTAGGGATCCTGCGATCGTAACCGTTTATCGTATATCGTGCGGTCAGTTTTCGTTAGGTACTATTTATATTTAATTTTAAATTTTAATTTTTGAAATTATTTTTTACTATGATGTACGATAAACGATCATGATTATAGAATTCCTACAATCCCTAAGAAACAGATCCGGTGAGGATCCTTTTACAGTTAGGTAGTTCATGAATGTACTTGTCAGTCTAGACATATCCTGCCTTCCACCAATCAAAGTAATATGTGGAAACATCTAGCCCATAAAATACACGTGTACGTAGTCACGAAGAAATTGTGATAAGTGTCAATACTCATTTCTTTTAAGTTGGGTGTATTTTTACTCATTGTCCTCAAATCGTAATAACGCTCATGATTATACTTATTATTATTAGATGAGTTTAAAATTTGAAATTTATATCTATCAATTATACAAATCTCGAAATTAAAAATTATTCAACGATAATTAATATGATGGTGAACATCATAATAAGAGTGGTGAGAAAAAAATTCCTTTTTGAATTGAAGATATTTTAAAAAATAAGAATTAATTGCAGAGAAATAGACAGGAGAGGGTCAATCACCATCAAACGCAAGTTGCAAATAAGGTTACTCACTGTCCCTGCTGAGCTGTTTATATTGCAGGAAATTGGAAAGTGGTGGGGTTGGGGGCATATGATTTTGAATTGAAATTACGTAAGCTACGAGCCAACTCAAGATTTTAATCACACAACTGTGTGTTAGCTATTAAGGGCCAGCCTGTGTCTGAGGAAGCTTCCCACGTCTCGCAAATAATTTTTCATTGTATTTTGATCACAATCACCTCAGTTTTTTTTTTTTTTTTTTTTTTCTTTTTGAAGAAATGATATGATTTATACTAAGGAGAGAAGTGAGCTTAGCCTCACAATAAACTATGAATAATGTAATTCAAATTCGTCTTTTATGATAATTAAACTTAAGACCTTTTACTTACCATTGAGGAGGAAGACACTGGACCGTAGCACTAAGTAGACCTTACGTTGTTATTTTATTCAAATAAAATTATAAGTATTTGTCTTTTATAACACGTGAAAATGATGCACCACATGACTAATGTTCGTTATACTTATAAATATTTCTCCCCCTACCACAAAGAATGACTTTTATGAAACATTGTTAAGAATCAATCCCACATTAATGACAAAATGGACCTTGGATAGGCTTATAAGTGAGTTGGGCTATTTTCTACATTTACATTTAGTTTTTCCACCTCAATTTTTTCATGGCATCAGAGTTGGTTGTCTCAAATGTGAAGCGAACAACCACATGCTCTAGTCACTTTGTTTGTGTTTACCACATAGGCTTGAAAATTCGCCAAGCTTAAGGGATCATCTTGAGAATGAATAGTACATTAATGGAAAAAAAAAATTTGCATAGACTTATAAATAAGTTGAGTTACTTCCCAACATTGTATATTGATTTTATGATGAAACTTTAACTTTCTTCATATATCACCAAAATGGCTTTATGTATAAATAATACAAAAGTATATATTAATTTCTCTTGAGAAACGTTATTGACACTCCAAAAATCTCATTTTACACTTCTTACAAGCGTATTTTTCTTTCTAAATATAGAAAGTTTGAGTGTAGAATGAGAATTTTGAAATGCCAATAACAATTTCCTTTCTCTTTACATGTCATTATATTATTGACACAAAATGTTACAATACCGATTTGCTGGTACTATACAAATTGCTTTCTATACTTCATCAATGGGTGTCAATTATGAAACCCCACTTTCTCTTTTAGCTGTGTGTTTAATTAACAAAGTCGTACACGTACTTTGGTTCTCTCCACTTGTTATTGTGTGGAGATTTCAAATTTGGAATCTTCCCCTAAGCCAACCACTTTCCTTGTTGAGCATCTGCCTTTTTCTTATTAATTGCTTGGCAATTGCGACGAAGGCACGCTTCAACCATAATCTCCATCTCTATCATGCATTATTGTACAACCACATGATTGTTCATACAACTTTTTCAAGACTAAAATGAGGCCTAACAATAGTGAACTAGTGCTTTTTTAATACAAATTTAGACAACTGTTTAGTACATGTATTATAAAAGTTGAAAAATTAAATCGCTTAATTAAGTTATATTGTCACAGTATCCATAGCAAGATTGAGCCTAACTAACGCAATAGAAGAATGGTTCATTTACACTCAAATTACCAAATCATTTACACAAATGAAAATATATAGAATTCGTTGTGAGTTGGAGAGGCGAAAATACTTATATGTTTGAGGGTATCACATGATTTGTGACTTGTGAGTAAGGAAAGAAGAGGTATACATTGCGAGATAGAAAAGTCGTGCACTTGCGGGAGGGAAGGAATATAATCACCGAAAGCAAGTCGACTATATAAGTTGTGTTTTGCAAATCTTATCATTTTTAAGATTTTTCAATCGACGATCTTGTGTTTAGCCTTCTCATTGCGTGACTTATGGTGTTTAGTGTCTTTTTATTTTGACTCAATTACATAATAAATAAAGGAAATTGTTATTATCATTTCAAAAAATCTCATTTTACACTCTAAATTTTCTATAATTAGATAGAAAATTGCTTTTATGAAGAGTGTAAATTGAGATTTCTGGAGTGCTAATAACAATTTCCTAAATAAATCAATCATTTTATTATAATCATGCGATGAGATAAAGATTGTAGGACTGACTCGTAAGAGTTTGGAGAGGAATACATGAACAATTGATTCACTAATATCGGAAGAAAAGAGACGTTTGATCGGTTAAATTCGGGAAGGATCCAAATAACGCAAGCCTAAGTGGTGACGCGGTTGGATGATAACGGCTACGGCACGATCCTTGCAATTATCTTCAAGTCTACTCGGTCGCCCATTTTTTCAAACACTCGGCCAAATCAAAGTGGATTTGATTTGAATAATTCATCCAAAACAAAACAAAATCAAATCAAAATCTCTTTCTTTCTTCTTCTTGTTCTAGAACAACCGTAATTTCTATGAAAGTACTTTAGAAGATATTTCGGTAGCGGCAAAACAACTTACATGAAATAGATTGATTGTAACGTACTTTTTCCGTGTAATAGTGCATTGATATACCTAGGTTATCCTTTACATACTAAGACATTATTACTTGAACTCTACAGTAACTTTACATTTATTTTATGTAAGTTTCTTTCAACAAAACCGCCACTGTTATTTTCACAAGTACATACAGATATAGAAGGTCTTTAAGAGAAGAGATCCTTGTTTTTTATAAATAAATAAAAAAAAGAATTAGTTCTGGGATTCACACATCAAACTTTAATTATCCAAACAGTTTATTTTTCAAGTTGCATCTTATATATCATCTTTACAACTAACCAAATCAGAGAGAAATCTACAAAGATGATCTATAAATCGAGACATATAAAATAAACAATTCGAATAATTTACCTATAAATGTATCCATCAATATCAAACTAATATGTCGATAAAAATGTCCAACTAATCTAATCATCCGCGTAGGTCTATCTTGTCTTTACAACTTGTCATCTGGCATTATATTAGTAACCAAAGGTTCGGGGCTGAACAGCTATTATATCAACAAATTAATTAATTAATTAAACATTCAATCACAA